TCAACCTTGTACTATTATGCGCCATTATGGAAAATGTGTAGAAGTGTCAACTGTAACCGCATTAACTTATTTTGTTCACCTTATCAATTTAAAAAAACTTATAAGAACCTGTTATTAAATGATTTTCAATAATACTGTAATGTAAATTATATTTAATAATTGGGCGATTGCCTGTAATTATATGTATATAAATAAATAAAAAAATAAATCTTACTTCAGCTGTGGGCACAACTCAAAGAACAAATTTAGAGCTGTTCATGACAAAGTTTTGAATATGTCCGGAGGGCGTCATGTAAAGTGCCCCTAAATTTTAAGAAATGTTTTTCAAAATCTAAAAGCTTCGACTTGAGCCAGATGGACAGGGGTTTCTTCAATTTGAAAAAAATCCTACACATGGTTTAGGCACTAGTAGTGTTCATAGTCAGACATTTTGTGGTCAATTGATTTTTTGGTATCAATGACCCACAACACAGGGATTCTGGCGATACCATGTGTAAGAGGATTTTGTTATTATATAAAACTAGATTTATCCACATTTTTGTAATCAGGGCCCGGCAATGGATTTTTTTTTCTTCCGTTTTTTTGTGCAGCATTAAATAACTTTCCCTATACTACATATATGTCTCTGTATAAATGTCTGCATGCAGCTAAGTATAAAGCATTGAATGTTTATTATGAACTTGTTTGCATCTGTTATTGATATGTATCATGCATAGTCGAGTATGATATTCTCCATTTTTTGTCATCAAAATTCATTTGCCTGGATTGCTATTCTGAAAAAGAATAGTGCAATTTTTGTTTATGAACCTCAAAAATTAGGTCTGGCAACAAAGTAGAATGGATGTATTGTTCGTGTGAAACAAGTTCATTTATTCGTTGTGCTCTTGCTAGTTTTACTTGCATAGTTTATGAAAGAAAAATTATTTTCAGAATATGGGCTCTGGTGGGATGTCATTTACAAATTTGCTGTGTAACACTAAGATGATGGAGCTGCTGGGCTCTGACACCTTCCCCTCTCCTCTCTTAACTACTTCCCTCTTGTAAGCTGTATTCTTTGCTGTATTTCTAAAAAAATTCTGAGCAATGATAATAAATAATCTTAGTTAAATATTGAATGGAAATGTTGAAATTAGTTTTTTCGTATTTTTTCTCAGGAATTTTTGAAAGCAGCTCCACATTTCTTCTATAAATTTTCCCTATATGTGCATCAAAGGAAGGTTTAAAAAGTGGTGCTATTCCCATTCCAACAAACTGTAATTTCAAAAATTAGAAAAAGTTAATATTTAAAAAGTACAATATTGAAGGTAGAGATTTTTATCTTCAGTGGGATCTGTCCTGAATAATCAGATCTTTGAAAAAAGTCATGTATAATGTTTTGAAAAAAAACAAAAAACCAACAACAATAGTTTTTGCATAATTTTGACTTGAAGTTAATGCAAATTATTTTTTAAAAAGTCATGTGGATAAGTTCTTGTTTTAATTCCAGTACCCTATTGATGAATCCAATAATTCCCCCCCCCCCCTTCTCTTTGTGATTTATTAACTTTCATTGTAAAATATTTTATATTTCAAAATTTTGAGTAAAATAGTGAAAACTTAAAAATTTCATAAACAAGATTTTCTGAAATCTGCAAACTTTTTTGATTCAAACTCTCCCAACTTTCAATAAAGTTTTTGAAAATTCCTGTCAACCCAGGTGGTTGGTGTAATGGTTAAATGTTTCCTCATTCTAAGAAACAGTTGAGCTAAAATTTAGTGGAATCAAGAAGTAGTTTTATAATATTTTGTAACATTGTGAATAATTATATTAAAAATAATGCTAAGAAGTATATGGTGAGGTACCATCCATGTGGATTTCTCGTAATGACCTGTTGTTATTGCTACCTAATAGATTTAATTCGTATGATGTGTGTTCTAATTATAAATATTTATTTGTATTGTGTGAAAATGTGACCCCACTCTTAAGTAGTTTTGATAAAAACTGTCTGTAAATAAATAGGCAATGGTAAGATTCCAAGCTAAATGAAGAGGGGTTTGCAGGAATCACATGGATGGCATTTGCTTCTTATTCATACAATATTTTTCTGCAATTTAAATGTCTTGGTACTAAAGGAAGTGCTTCCTCAGAATATTACGCTATAATTCAAGTGGCAATGCACAGTCGCAAAATACACGTGAGCTGCACGAAGGTATACCGAATTTAAAAGGATTCTGAATGGGTAACATAACATCTCCACATTCAAGAGGACTTGGATAGAGTTTGAGTGGTCAAAAATCTGGAAGCTATCTTTGAATGAATTGAAATGTAAGGTCATGCATATTGGAAGATCCAGTGCCAATCAAAGTTACCAAATGGAAGGAATGTAGCTGGAACTGAGATTATGAAGGATCTAGGGATCATGATCTTTAAAAATTTCCTATGAGAAAATCACGTGGGTTACATTATGAAAAATTTTAAAAAGGTTACTTTCATACTGTGTAAAGCCTTTAGTGTGATAAGAAGTAATGCATTCCCCTCGTAATAAAACCTTCATACCTCTAATACTTGAATTTGGTACTGTGATTTAAAACCCTTACCTGATAAAAATATGTCTGTTGGAAAACACACAAAGAAGATCCACGCGAATACCCATAAATCTTAAAAACACAGCCTACAATAAATGAAATTTGAGACTTGGACTTGGACCAATGCTTACTGCCAAAACACAATGTAGCAATATAATTGAAATTTTTAAGACCTACCAAAGGCATTACAATGTGGACCTTGATAACATAGTTCATCACTCTAAAAATTTGCAATGTCGAGTCACATAGTATGAAACTTACAAAGACTAGGTATAATTGAACGCAAAACAAATATTTTCTGAGCAACCGAGTTGTTGATGCTTGTAATATTCTACCTGAGAACATAGTAATGACTCCTAGTTTGCACTCCTTCAAAAGTGCTTGCAATTGTCTCTTGAGCATGTAAGATGTTGTTCTGTGAACCTTTGAACACTTTCCACTGAAAATTTGTAATAAAATATTTCTGTGATATGTTAAATAATTAGCATTGAATGTTGGCACTAAATTGGGCAATATCAGATATGTTCTTTTGTCTGTACGTTACTATAAATAAATAAATGAATGAGAGAATGAACAAATTAATAAATGAATGAATAATGAATTTCATAGTGTTTTGTGGATTTTCCATTTTAGATTTGGTTGAATTGAGAGGCGCAGAAATTTTTTTATCTTAACATCAGCTGATCGATGATTGTTCATTTTCAATGCCACATGCCTGTGTGGAATGCAAAACTGCTTTGAAACAGTTTTTCCAAAACCAATTTAACGAGTCAATGAAACTTCTGAATTTACTATTTATTACTTCTTTTTATTTATTACTTATCTTACTATTTATTGTTTCTTTTTCGCAAAGACGTCAGCAAACAGACCTTCCATTTCCAATGAACGAGGACCCACCACTAAGAAGTGCTTCATTTTCATCCACTGATGAAACATCATCTTTAAGGAAAGAAAATGGCTGTTTGCGTAGATTTTGACTTTCCAAATCCACAAAATCCTTGTACTAAAGTTCCTCAATTATAATTTCATACAATGAGTAGGTATCCGTACTATTTGAGTGGTCTCAGAGGTTCCTGTATAATTGCCATATGGGGAATTGTAAAGGACCAAGTGTTGGCTATCAAACATGCCTGAATGTTTAAACTGTACTGTCAGAATTGATGTACACTTGTAGTTTTGTTAATTGATAACGGAATTTCTAAGTTCGTTGTTATGATTTCAATGCCAATGATTTTGTCAACTTCTGCATTTTTGGGCCCACCATTTATATCACACTACATTTCAATTTGTTAATGAAAACTCAAAATATTGTATTTTCTGACGTGGAAGTCTCTTTTAAATATAATTATTACTTTTGCACCTCCCTGCTGTAATTTGTGAAGTGGAAGTCTTTCAAAAAGAATTATTACTTTTGCATCTCCCTATCTTATTGTTAGATAATTAACAGACATACGTTATATTCACTCATTCATACAAATTTAATCTACATTTCATTTTCCAAGTGCACTCCTTTTCAAAATAAAGTTATTCTAATGGTCATTTACAAAATAATACATAATTAATTACAAGTCTTGGCCTTGTTACAAAATCATTTGGTGAAATTGCATCAACTCCCTAGTTGCTGGATCCCTTAATGGCGCAGTCTCCGACCGTTGCACATATCTGGAACGTCTTGTCACCATCTTTTCCTCTTTTCTTGTAATCCCAATGGAACCACTTGCGAATTAATATACTTCTACTAGGAGTATCACTGTATGAAATCAACTATTTTTAAAACTAATTTCTACTAAATCAAAGATTCGACTTGTGCTAGATGTTATCACTGAAGAATGCCAACCTGTCTGTCTGTCTATATGCATTGTTCCCTTGTTTTTCTCCACTGCGCAGTTTGAAACAAAAGGCAGCTCTTCTGTTCTGGCAATCTTGGTGTACATTTTTACATTCTAATTTTTAGATTTCGTTAATTTCTTCATTGCAATAATTTCTAAATAAAATTCAAATAATAAATTTAATTATCTTTCCCTTTTCCAAATTCCTAATATTGTTATTTTCTAAAGCCTAGAGCTCAAATAACTGTGTATATCTTTCCTAAATGTTCTTTGTTTATTAATTTACTATTCATAGGTCTGCTAATAGCACAGTTCCTTGAACTTTTAGAAATAAATAACTCTTAACCCTTCCACCCTTGCACCTTCGACTGTCTCTTTATCAAATTGTTAATTTTAGTTACTTTGGTGCATTTTTTAAAATAATGATCAAGACGTGTCCAAATAGACCATGACAATAGTAACAATAATAAAAAGGCATTTTGCCAAAAATCTGGGCATTAATAATAATAATAATAATAATAATAATAATAATAATAATAATCATCATCATCATCATCATCATCAATCTTTATTATCATTGCTTTTAACCATTTTTTTCATTTTCAGTGTGGGACCAGAATGTTCTAAGTTTGTTCAATTTCTCTTGGTGGGATACCACTACCTTCCAACCATATGTCAATGAGACTGCATTTGAAAGTTCTTTGCTGGTACAGCAGTCAGGTCATTTGGCTTTATCATCACTTCAGAATGTGTTCAGATCATTGACAAATAATGCTAAAAAGATTTTTCTCTTGATGGCTGAATATCAAAAGGAACACAAAGATGAATCACATTACAGTGGTAAGTATTTATGAGTCCTGAACAGGAAAGGAAGTCTGGATGAAGCTTAGTTCTGAGTCTGCGGGGTTCAAGAATGCCTGGCCATTTGAAAATTAAGTCCAAAGACCTTTAATCTAATTGCCTTTGCATAATATATGTTTTAAAATCTTTAGTAATCTTAAAAGTATACAAAAATGACTGTCTTAAAATTTTGGTAGGTAGTTAGGGTCTGTTTTGGAATTCATGGCTTTCATTTTATTTTGTTTTACGTGTAAATTATTGCTTGAAGACACCATAAATCTTGAAAACAAGTGTGCTTGAATGGTCAGACAAAATGATTTATGCTTTTGAATGAATCCAATATCTAGTTCTGCTCTATTGGCAAAGACAAACCTTGCAAATACAGTATTAATGGACAGATAGTTGCAACAACTTTATTGACATGACATCTCGGTATCCTAGTTACAAGTGAAATGTGAATCCCAGGTTAAATACACTATTTGGTGGGCAAATTAATCACTTCTGCATTACTGGATAAATAGCGTAATCATATCAGTACTACTCCCTGCTCATTGTAGAATTTGGCAAAACTGTGTGGAGTTACTACTTAGCAAAGGGGAGATTTGTTGGAAATTGATCAGCAACATCACCTGGCGTACAAAGGAGGCTTAGACACTTCAATTACTCTAAACTCATTACAAACTGATAGAGGAGATGCATTAGTAACTTTTAACATTCTTAATGGATGTATCAATGATGATGAACTTTTAACTACACAAATAATCAACATCTCAAGAGATACACTGTGAAGTTAAAGAAGTTAACATTTAGAATATTTCTAAGTAAATTTTCTTTTAAATACTATCAGTGACATCTCATCACACAGCGACATCATACGATCAGTGAAGTCTTTCCCACAGCGGATAGTTTTGTCAGCGTCTATTCACTTGAAAAAACAAGTGATTTGACAGAATTGACTTAATAGAATTTCATAAACAAGTACATGCACTGAGTTTTATGTGGTCAACATAAATTTGGCTTTTGAATTATAAATTGTATCATGATATGCAATGACTTGTTTTCTTACCATATTTCTAAATTAAATTTTGGAAAAGTGGGTTTTATTTATTTTGATTTTTTTCAGGAATGCCATTTAAGAAGTTGTACACAATGTGTCGCGAATCTTTACTGGTGAGCTCTGACCTTGCTTTGCGATCACAGCTGACTGAATTTTTGGATCATAGACTAGTGAAGTCACGTCGTGGTCATGATGGCTCAGAACTCCTTTCCATTCCAATTGATATGAGTATTTTGGATCAGTTCATAAACCAGCAAGAATTGTGAAGTATTGTGTGAAATCCAAAGTATTCTGAGTGTAGCTCTTTGTTTTTAATTTATGGAGTTTGTTATTTGCAGAGTTGTACAATAAAAATGTATTGTTTGTATATCTATGTTTAACTGATTTTTAACCTGTGCCAGTAATAAAACTTCTTAACTAAGCTTGTGAAGTAATGGAAGGTAAGTAGCGGAGTCACTGTTGGGTTTCCGGATGCTGACGGTCTGGAAACCCTGGATACTAACGGCACTGAACCTGTGGTCGGGAGGGATGAAAGGCAACGACTGACTTGACTGGACACGATGACTTAGTATGTTTAAAGAAAATTATTCCTCAAAACCAATGCAAAAAGGGCTTGGGATATTGTTATGCAAGTAACAGAATGAAAAGAAAGTGTAAGTGATCATTTAATTTTAATTTCATAGTATTGTATTGATTTAATGTTTTGTTTTATTCCCAGTTTTATTTTTACAATTAAAATAATAGGAATTAATAATTTAATAGTTAAATTAATAGACATTTTTGAGCACTTTGATAACTATAATTAAAATTAGGTAACAAATACATTGAAAGATATAACCAATCATTATTATATTGATGTATAGAAAGATTATATTGATGTAAAAATTTTAAATCAGTAGTTCTAGAAGAGGTGGAGTTTCAAATCATTGGGAATGAAAATTTTAAAGAGTATCTCCTAAATAATTAGGGGCTATCCATAAATTATATAATGCAATTTCGGAACATTTTGAATGGCCCCTCTCCTCCCTGTAGCCTCACTTTTTACAAAATGTAAAAACAAATTATTTGACGAAAACAATTTGTAATAATTTTATTGAGTTATATATTAAAATTAATGACAATTAAAGAGATGTAGCAGCAGCTCAGACACACATTTGCTAACCTGAGGGGACCTGGGTTCAAATCCTAGCATAGCTGAGGATTTGTATCCGGTCATGAAGTTTTCAGGGCAGTCTTAAGGTTCACAGAGCCTTCTTTTCAAACGAGTAAAAAAAATTTCCGGTTAAAGCAAGATGCTTACCATGCCATCTTCACCCCGCTTGTAGACATAAGACCATCTAGAGACACCTGTGACATTATTTGCACAGAGGGCCGTGGAAGTGGGTAGTAACTGGAAAACTGGCTGAAGGAGAGGAATCCTAACATCCTCTAACCCTAAGATTAAACCTGCAGTACTAAAAGAACAAGAGTAAAAAAAAAAATTAAAGTCAGAATTAGTTGGCAATGCGGATTGCACCTAACAATAAGATTAGGGGACAATTTTTCATGACAGAATGTAGCATTAGCTACAAAATTTCAAAGTAGTGCATATGAGGATACATGAGCAAGAATTTACTGTGTCGATTTGATAGTATTCTAGAATATACTATAGACCAGTTTCAAATATTTTCTTCATCATTTAAGAATCAATCAATATACCAGTGATAAGAATATATTTTTAATTCTTGGAAACATTTATACATTATAAGTTTTTAATTTAATATGTGAATTATTTATTGTGAGGCTAACTAAAAGGAATTATTTTAGCCTATGGTGAAAAATAAAATAAATAATATCAGCATAACAATATGAACCTCCCCACCTCATGTAATGCAGTAATGTTCCCTCAATCCCCCCCCCCTCCCTCTTTAGCGTTATGTAATTTATGGACAACCCCTTAGTTTTGCAGATTTACTTGAACTATTATTGTGTCATTGCAAGAAAATAAAATGTTTAACTTTGATTATGTTGAATAAAGTAACTTTATTGGTGACTTGAGAACAGTATTTTCCAGAAAACTGGACATCACCAGAAGATTGTTTGCAATGAACATCTTAGGGAAGAAGTCTTTGATAATGGGGTGATTGATTCATAAACATATTACTCGCTTTTTACTAATGTCCTACAATATTGTTCCTGAGTTTTTGTTTGTATTGAATACAAAGTAAAAATCCTCTGTTGCATGCATATTTATCAAAATCAATCAATTCTGTCTATTGTTTACGTTTCATTGCTCTTCCATGTCGCTCAAACCCCCTAAAACAAACACGCATCAAGTGATGGCACATCACATTTACAATGAACATTAAAAAAGGAGTTGTGGTTCCAGTGGCTTTTTATTTTATCCACAAGATAATTCTACGAAAGAATAGAAGGAAACTGCCATAAGGTGGGAAATTTCTTATATTAAAATAAAGTATCACATGTGACATTTGGCTCTGGTTGGAAGGCAACTGATAATGCTCAAATATTTTGTGGGTCAAGTTGTGACAGTCTTCATATAATTGCCAAACACCAATGGATGATGGGATGGTCAAGATTGGTGCAGGTGGGAAAGAGATTTGGGCAGTTTTATCCCCAAACCAGGATGGATGGATGAAAGATGTTTCGCAGAACTGTCAGATAAAATCTTTTGAACTGAAACTGTGAACACGTCAGGAGTAAGAAATTGTTGTGCTGTTGCGATGATCATTCAAATATTTTAATTTTTGTGGGGGTACTTTACAGGAAGCAGAATCTTCTGAAAATGACTGCATTTTTTTTTGCTGCAGTTGAAAGTGGATTTAGAAGGGCAGTATACTTCTGCCTTTCAGTAACACCTCTGAAATTTTGAAAATTGTCTTTATTTTCAGTTTTAAATCTATGAATGAGGTCATGAATAATTTTTTTTTTTTTTAAATAGTTAAATTATTTTCACAGAATTCCTGACATATTCCTGTAAGTATGCAAACAAGAATGTGTCAGAATTTGATCTTTTTTCTTTAAATTTCTTGAAAGGATGGAATACACAACCCTGGATTTTGTGACACAAGTGACATTCTCATGAGCACTGGAATTTTCAGAAATTGTACATTTCTTAATATTTTCTTAACTCTTGTTAGTAATACCTATTTTACATACTTAACTCTATTTTTTGCAATGTATCAATTTTTTTTTTAAATTTAAGCAGCATCAAAATTCTTTATTTTATAAAATACTGAAATATTTTCTAAAAACTGCCAAAATTTTTATTTTGATATAGATTTTCTCTTTATAATATTTTTAAAGCCCCATTTTGATGAAGGGACCAAAATATGAAAAAATTAAAACACTAGTAATTATTGTCAAATTGAACATATTAATTCTACTGTAACTGAAACAAATACATTACTTTAAATAGCACTCTAAATTTTTCATTTTAGAACATTTTCTATATAGTTTGTGAACTTTAACTAAAATTGTCATTTTAACATTTCTAAAAATGTTGAAATAATATTGAATCTGAAGATTCATTAGTTCTTTGTAAATGTTATCCTTACAAATATTATTGAATGAACCAGAGATTTAGTCACAATGGAAAAGAAAATCTCAGGTAGAATAAATCAGTACCACAGAATTCAATGTTTTACATTCTGTGGCACATTGTTTTAAGCAATACTCGAAATGAAATTAATACAATATTTGGCAGGCTTGGATAACTGAGGTTCCAAAGACTGAAGGTCTGTTGCTGCCTTTATTTAGTAGAAAAATGTACAATATTGGAATTATATTATTGATTATTATAATGAATTGAACTTACTCTGTGTGTTATTTAAAATGGATTTCCAATGATTCTTTGCAGCATTATTCTTGGGAATCTAGGCATGGAAAATAGGGTTGAAACACATTTTGTTTGTGAAACCTAGTTATGTTGAAAACTTTAATCTGGCAAAAGACAAAGAGTTAAAAATAATTATATCCCATAATTGAAATTGGGCCAGATAACATTCAGGTTATTTTATTTTTAGCATGTTTCATAACTTCAAAAAATTTGTGCTTAGTTCTTTTGCCTCAGAGTTTTGATTGATGTGCCATTTAAAGGAAGATGAATTAAATAAATAAATAAATTTAAAAAAAGGTGAGTAACTTTGAGAACACTACTATTAAGTTGAGGTTGGCAGAGATGTAAGGCAGCTTCTATGATCTGAAATAAGACTAATGAAATTATATAGCTGGATAAATGATGTTATGGATCTTGTCACAAACTTGAGTACTTTTATAATATGAAAGAAATTGATTTGTACAAATTATCTTTAATTACTCAATGTGATGATTGAATGCATCTTTTCGTCTACAATTAAAGTGCATTTTCTAAACAAATGAAAAGCATTATTAATTTCTATCTGTTATGTGAAATTAACCATAAAAAATTCTTTTGGGATCTGTTTACATAATTATAAATTATTTATATAATTTGAATCAAATATTTATTGATTGATGCTAATGAACATCAAAAATCCATCCACAGAATTTCAAAATAAAACTCTGGAATCCAAGTAATTGATTTATTTAATTACTGAAAGTATTTTCAATTTATATAAATTAGCTAAATGCGCTGTACATTTTGAGGGAGCATACATTTATAAATTTGCGTCCAATAGAGTAATTTGTATTATACTGGTGGACATGGCAATTTGAATCGGGCGCGCAGGCGTCACGTGCAAACGATATATTACCAACTAAAAACAAATTTATAAATAATTTATAACTCATCCATGACTTGATTAGTATTTCGTGCATGCGACTAAATTATTTCAATGCTCAATAAAATAGTTTCGTTAACTCCTTCAGCACCATCTATTCATAGCACATTCTATTATAGTTGATGTAAAGTTTTCTCGACGAATATATCTAATGTTAGAAGTAGTTTTGGTATTTATCTTTATTGCATTACATATGATAACATCAAAATATATTTGTAAAATATGTCAATATATGTGGACATTTGTTGATAATCTTATACGTTCAAGTCAGTTTTTCTAGTTTTTTGATATTGGAATTGTTGGTAGAACTGGAAATGGCAAAGACGCCATGTTTAATTTTTTGTGTGGGTTTCAATAGAAGTGTTGAAGAATATTATTTACGATTTGCATTATTATTGGTGAATTTTTAAAAAATCCTTCAAACTGGATAGGCTACCCGAATATCTCCGCGACACCGTGGATTGGTTTATGGGGTGAGTTATCATTTTTATTGAATATGTGCTGTTCAATTGTGTCGGGGGTCCTCAAATCTGTTGTATACTTACGAGATTGACAACATGATCAAGGCCAATGTCACGGCAGTGACATTTGTTTTAAAGTCATCAAATGATGTAACGATGATTGCTTCGGGTTTGGATTACCACCAGTTCATGTTGGGGCATATGATTCCAAGTTATGTGACAGCTTTGATGTTCAGTTGACAAATGTATTAAGGCTGCAAAGCAGTGTGGATGAATAAAATGCCACACAGGTTATTCCAGCGATAATTGTGTATCTGATGAAAACCACTTAATTTAATGTACCGTTGTATACGTTTTTGTTAAATGGCTGTACTTCACTTCTTTTTCTATAAGCTCATAGGATGTGAGCATTATTTTAATGATTACTTGGTTCTGATTAATATAATTTCACTACTTGCACATGATTTCATGTACATGTTGTTTGGGTATTAAGTTAAGTTTTAACTTTCATGTTCTTTTCCATCCAATTTTGTTTGGTTA